CACTCGCACTAGCGTCGAGTGTGTGAAACAGCGAAGGAACCAAATCGATATCATTCGATAATACTTTTTCTTTCGATCGTCTTGCATTAAAGATGCAACACTGAGTTGCTTCCTAGTATTTTTTTTCCTCCGCTCCGCGTCTCCTTCATGCTCCACGAAAACACGAATGTAGGAAAAAGCGCAATGTGTAGATACACCGCAGTCTCTCACTCGCACTAGTGTCGAGTGTGTGAGACAGCGGTCACCGAAATTCGATATCACGTCCGATTATGCTTTCTCTCTTGATCGCGCGTCTTGCGTTAAGGATGCAACATCGAATTGCCCCCACTATTTTTTCCCTCCGCTCCACGATCTCCTTCGCGCTCCACGGAGACACGGATGTACTCGCTATGTCCGCCTCCGCATCCCCCCCCCCGCGAATAGGAGATTGCGGATTGAGACCCGCGATCTCCTATTCGCGAAGGGTGGTGCGAAGAGGACATGGTCTCCTACGGAGATCGTATAAATAGGATGAGATGATCGATCTTCGTTCAATAATTCGATTATTAGAAGAATCTTTATCAAGACGACATGGGAACATTTACGAATGAAGAATATTACGATATGCTGATGGCACTGGTGAGTGCCATGGGCAATATCACGTTGCTGCAAGACGATACGCCGAATTGTACCCAAACTCAGCAAGACATCCATCGACTCCTGTTATACTTCGAGTTGCTCAAAGGCTATACGAAACTGGCAGTGTTCTCCCAAACAAACACTGGGAGAGATCGCGAGGTAAGAAATTTACGGAATATGCACTGTTAAATCCATAGTGTCAAATTATACTCAATGTTAATCATTTTTAACCATTCCTATAAATCGTCATTGCTCCTACTAAATATATGGTTAATTTAACTTAAATGATTGAGTTAAATAATTTTACTCAAGAAGTATCATATTTGACTAAAATTTTGTTTATTATTTACTATGTGCATACATTAATATAAGCTTTTGATTTAGTAAAAAATGAATATTGTATTTTAATTTACTAATATCACTAATCTATAATAGTCAAAGGATACTCAGATTTTGGTTAAATATTACTATTCTTATTGTTGTTTTCAACACAATGTGATAGTTAACTTAAAGTTATTATATTTAATGAATTGTAAATTTTAATGCAGTTTTAAATATAAAACAATCATGTGTATATATGTACATATTATATTTCTTAAAATTTTGCAACATAATTATACATCTTTAATCGAACTTTGTTTCGTAAACATATATAATAATTTTCGTCGCCAATAATAAATGATTTACGTATACAATAAATTCGAAAATCATACAATGCTGATTTCTTTACATATATGTAATCTTTCGAATAACGTACAACATAAGCATGAAAATGATTTTCAAAACTAAATGTTACAAATACACGATAATAAAAAAACATAACAGTACAAGACGAAGATACAATTTGATTTATAACTTTCTTCTTTTCATTAAATTTCTATTCATTAGAAATCACAAATAAATAACACTTTAACATTAACATAATCTTTTCTTCGAAGACACATCGTGTTTATTCAACGGTATCAAGACACATTGTGACTTGTCGTGACGTATGCGCGCTGTCTCTATACGACAACTTGTATCGCTCCTAGCAACATCGTTATTCCGTTATTCATTTGTTTTGTTGAATAGTGGCGCTATTTTCTTTCAACTAAATATTTTAACTACATAAATAAGTTAATTTGATATAGTTATTTTTTTAAACACATGTTTTTCGTTAAAATAGAAATTTCAACACATATGATAGTTAAAAATAACTAAAATTATTTAACTTAAGAAATTGAATCAAATTTGATTCTTTAATATCTAATAGTGTGGAGACAGTTGTACGTGCTTTCGAGCAAAATTCGGAAACGAGTATTCGAATCGTTGCTCGAGAACACAATTTATCATATGCAACTGTACAAAGGATATTGTAACAAGAAAAATTGCACGCATTTCACTATACACGCGTGCAATATTTACGACCTGAGGATTATTATCTAAGAAGAACATTCTGCAAAAATTTTCTGAGAAACGTCGAACGAAATCCCAGATTCACTTCTCGTGTGATATTCAATGATGAATCGCTATTCACACGAGAAGGAATTTTACATATAACATAATTTGCTACAATCTATGGACTGCTTATTGTTATCAAATAGAATTTCTCATCGAGTAACGTGTGTCGTGTATGTAACGTGTATGTATCTTTATCAAATTTTTTTCAAAATCAGCCGATTAATTGGTAATAATTAAATGTAATTTATTACTTTGTAATTTATTATTCGTGAATTTTTCGACTTTATTGATCACGTGCGTAAATCTGTAAAAGTTGATATATGTTTATAAATATTGATTATTGTGATTATGCATGTATTTTTTTTTCATCAAGTATTCTCGCCGAATGATTAACTGATAGTGATTATTATTGATGAACCGATTCATTCGTAAAAGCTTTATTTTATCGATCGAGTACGTCAGTAAACGTGTTGATAATGTAATACAATTTATAAGAAAAAGAAAATTTCTAATTTCTCTAATTGTATGTAATATGCTGTTTAATTCGAGTAATTCTCAATCGCTAAATAATTAATCGGTAGTGGTTAATAGTGATGGATCGATAGATTTGAATTTTTATAAATCAATCGAGTGCGTGAGTATTGATATAATTCAAGAAAGAAAAACTTTGATTTATTCGGTACGGATTCGTCGCATGGAAAAGAGTTGCTATCACGGCGAGTGAAATTATCTGTCCGTTTTTTGCAAGGTATCGAATTTTTACAAGGTAAGTGTGTGCATGCGTGTGTGTGTGCGTGCGTATATGTGTGCATATGTGCGTATATGTGTGTGCATGCGTGTGTGTATGCGTGCGAGTGCAAATGTGCATGTGTTTGTGTCTCGTAGCAAAGCAGCTAATCATAACGTGCGTCCCGCGTAGTGACCCACGTCGGACGGTAAGTTGCGCCGTCCCTGCTTACCTTCTATACTCAGCCCGTAATTGGTAAACTATTTCTGCTTATAATTTAAAAACTAAGCTTCGGATAAAATTTTAATAAAGGAAAAATTGTCTTAAAATAAAGTCAGGAATATGCTCCTTTAAGGACAAACGGTTATTCTGAATCACTCTATAAAAAGAGTATAAAAAGAGTTGTGACTTTCATCTTACATTTCTATTAAAACATATTCCTATTTTATATTCTAGTGATAGATTTTTAATTTAAATGCAATTTAATTATGCGATATAATTAGGATAATTTGTAATTTTCTCATTATGTTATAAGTAAAAAAAAATAAGTATAATACGTCCTTAAATTTCCATACTGTAATTATGTATTATTAAATTGCCATTAATATTAAAATTTAAGTCTAAGAAAAAGCAACAATAAGAAAATAACAAGAAGAAAAGAACAAAACAAGAAGAAAAAAAGGATTTTCTTACTATTGTTGACATACAACGTATCATTAAATTAGAATTAGTTATTAATTATAATAAATTAATTATAATAAATTAAAAAATAAAATTTAATTGGCAATATCTTTTATTTAAAAAAATAGAACTTAAATGGTACGTATTTGTTATACCGTGTGTTTTATTTTAACTGCTCCAGGCAAATATCTCGAAAAATATGGAAAATACAAAAAAATGTTTCAGACAAAAGTTGTATAGTTTCGAGAGGGACATAAAACTGCCATTAATTTGAGGTAAAATTATTAAAAATTGAAACATTTCTTCGTATTTTCCATTTTTCGATTTGCCTGGGGCAATTAAACTGGGGCAACACGATATATATATTTGTTCTGTATGAATATATGCGTATGTAAGAATAATGACACACATACACACACACACACGCGCGCGCGCGCGCGCGCTCTTGTGTACGCATGTATGCACGCACGCACACATCGTAGTTAAATTTCGTACATGCTAAAAATATTTGAAATTTGAAAAGTGAAGAAATTTCATTTTTTTTCTTTTGTCTTCAAAATTATATCTTTTTAACTAAATTTAAAAATCTGTGCAATTTAATTATCAAAATATTTAATGTTCAATATTAATAACGTATAAAATAAATTAGGATGATTGAAGTCAATTTCTAAATAAGTATTTAATTATCTATTAAAGACAATGTGTTCATGTTATAAAAATGAATAAAAATTTTTTATTTCTATTTAGAATCACTTTACATATTTTTATATTTTTAAATAATATGTTAGCGGCGCGAGCACAAATGCGCACATGTTCGGCAACCAGTTGTTCATTGGACTTTCTGTTTTCTATTGACTTACCTCGAAATATCTCGAGAGATGTGGTTCGAGCGCAAAACACCGAAAATACCGTTCTCTGTTAGTTGGCACAGCAGGCCTCACAAAATAGGGTATAACGCTACACAAGACGAAACTCAACCGTCCGAATGCACTGATTGACTGACACTGATCACATACTGACTATGTGAATCGTAGCTTGAGAAGAGGAACAAATCTAGCATCTGAAACTGAGGGGTGGGGTAACTAAATTCTTTATCAACCCTTATTTTTTATTATATACACTACAGATACATACACACAAACATACACAGATATAAGTACATATTATATAAAATTATCTGTAATCTTTAGAAAATATATTTTTGCAATAATTCGATTTAATAAAATATATCAAGACAATAAATATGTTTATATTTTTTGTAACGTACTTAATTTATATGTATAAGACTTAATTTATATAAAGTTTCAATGCGTTACAGTTAATATTTTTCATATTAAGATATTGAATTTTATATTGCAGTTGTACTATAAAATCCTAATAATTTTTAAACACTCTAAATTATAACTTAGAATAAAAAATTTAATAGTAGAAGTGTAAACTACCTTTGAAATGTACTTATTATATCTAATTCTCTTTTTTATATTCTATTACAATCTCTTATAATAATTTATGAATCTCTTATTATCAGTTGTATGGAAAAATATATTTTTTTTATAATCATTAAGAAAAGTATAATTTTTATATCAAATTTTTATTCAAATTATTTTTTTAAATCAAACTATGTCTATTATTAATTTGAACCAATATATGAATATCCATTAATTTACAAATTAATGGATTTAGCAATATAAATATATTAGTACAAAAGTAGTAACAGTCAAAGTTGATAAAAATTAAAAAAAGTTGTACTTTTTAAAAAATATGTTTTAAACAATATTGAGAAAAATATGTTTAAAACAGAAAAAAGCATTTTTTAAATATATTTTACACATATATAGAATAAAGAATAATTTATAAATCTTTTTAATACAATCATGTTCATTTGTTTAATATAATTATGTTTCATTTAATTATACAGTTTCATGTTACATTTTACATTTTAATGTAAGAATTTAATAAGTAATTTCCGGAAAAAGGTTTATATCTAATTATATATAATTATATATAATTTATAGATCTAATTATGTATGGATTTTGACCTGATCCAATTATATATAAATAAATAAAATTGTTTATGATTATATATGAACAGATTAAATAATCTTTACTTGACGACAAAATTACGGTTGCATTCCAATATTGACTGCTAGTACAGAAAATCTATAATATATGTGATACCTCTTACAGAAAATAAGTGAAAAAAACGAAAAAATTAAAATAAATTAGAGAAAGTGATAAAACAATTTTTATCTCGTATCATTGCATGTTTCTCCGGTCACCCATCCATTTGGAGATCCTACTCCATGTCACTTAATCTCTGTATTGGGATGAAATCTGCTACTAAAATGACGAAATAAGTGATTGCGGGATTCCGGCTTAAAATGTGATAGATCTGTTTAATGAATATTACTATATTGTCGTATAAATAGTCCCAATTTTAAAATCTTGATTGCATGTAATTCTTGTAGATAATTTAATTATATATATAGAGCCGTAAACCTATATTATGTTTAATAAAATCATTATTCTTATGAAAATGTTTATAAATTGTTGTATATATTTTATTTACTTGTTAATGAATTTATTAATAACTGTATTAAATATGGGAAATATTTTTCTTATTCAGTTATAGTTATATTACAGTTAATATAATATAGTTAATTAAGAAAGATAATTAATAATGTTATTTTATTATTTATTCATTAAGAATGACTTAAAAATGACAATTAAATAACGATATTTCGTGACAAATGTTACATTTATTTTACGTCGTTTAGTACACTGATGTCGAATGACGAGAAATGACCTTAAATCATCATAATGACGTCATGCTATTTAGGTGTGTGTGTGTGTGTGTGTGTGTGTGTGTGTGTGTGTGTGTGTGTGTGTGTGTGTGTGTGTGTGTGTGTGTGTGTGTATAGTATATATATATATA